TTTAATCCCATCTCCCCTGGGGCTGCAGTCTTTATTATGTAAAGGGACTAGCTTGGCCTTCTTAATGGCCCATTGACAAAGGGGGATGGGCAGGAAGGTACAGGCAGCTATTCTGTCTTTTAAAACATGTTTATCTTTTCACATCCAGAGAAATATTCTGCCTTTTCAATATTTCCTAGGATATTTCATTTTTCTGGGAGAGGGCTGGGTGATAACTTCCTACAGGTATATAGGTACACTTCACTTAAATCTACATTTGATAATGGTTAGTTAAGGAATGGTCATCTAGTCTCCTACCCCATGGCCTGTGTGCTGATTATTAGCTTTTTCACCCAGCAGTGACTCTGTCTGTTTATGCAGAGGATACCAGCTGCTGAACCACCATTTTATGTGAAAATATAGCCTTGCATCTCGTTCTCTCTCCTTTAAGAGGAGATGAATACTTTTTAAGGGGGAGTGGGATACTTTTGTATCTCAGCTGCATTAATTTGTGGTTGATTTAATCATGTTCACTAACAAACTAGGGATCCTGAATGTGGTTCACTTTATTTCCTGCTTACAGTTTATAACCTTAGACAAGCCCTTTGCCTCCTTCCAGCATTCTGCTTCTAAACTGGACACCCAAATACTTTTTAGCAGCTTAAGAGCTGTACTCCAGCAAAACAACACCATATGCGGGCAAGGCCAGTATTGAAAAGCATAGCAGTTGTCCATCATTCACCATGCCTGATTGAACAAATGTTCCTTGTCAATGTCGAAAGAGCTTAAAGGACTGGAGCTAAGGGAAATATTAAGGGGAGAGGCTTGATAGAGTTGGAGGTACACATTGTCCTCCATTTTGTATATACATGAGCTACCCATGGTGCATGGAGACATTTCCGCTCACTGACCATATTCTTCCAAGTGAGGATATAACCTTACTTTCCAAATAGCCAGTTCACTATATTAAGGTTTTGTTATTCTTCCTCCAAAAGACTGCGATGGTGGCAGAAAAATAGAAGGAGATACCACAATGAGAACAGCAGTCAAATATATTTTCATATATGGTGAACAAAAATCTTACTGGGAAAATGTCAGATGATAGAAGACTGTGATGCTATAAGTTGAGCCACACCTAGTCTCAGAATGAAAGTTTTTGGGTATTTTAAGACAGATTCTGCTGGGAATAGAAAACCTGAGCAGCCCCATAATGATTTCTCTCATACTCTTACCCACAACAGAAAAGGAAAACCTCAAAGGTTGATTATATGGCCCTGTTCATTTCCCATTTATACGATTTTCTAGATGTTCAGCCATTCTCATTTGATTCAGAATAGTTTAAACATTTTCAAGCAAAGCAAGAAGGCAAGTAAGTACACCAGTGGGCACCATTCAAAGAGTCCTATTGTGACATTTGTTGCAGCTTGTTCTTAGTCTATTCAGCATATGAATTATCTAGCCTGGGTGCAAAATTTAAAGTCAGACTGTGGGTTAGATAATCTCTTATTTTTCTCCAATTAGCACGCATGTCTAATCCTCTCCTTTCTGATCATGTCTTTCCTGAAATTTGCAAGTTTTTAAAAAAAACTTGTACCATTGGAAGTTTTAAAAAAAGCTTTTAAAAAAAACTTCCAGTGGCACAATAGAGGCTTTCTTTCTTTCTTTCTCTCTCTCTCTCTTTTAAACTACTGCAGAGTAGTGCCATATTTCATAGGGGAAGCAGTTGGAAAAGAAACAACTAAGACTCTTCTTTGCACAAATGGGGGTTCAGACCTGGATCTGGGCCATGTTTGTTAACTTTGGAGTAAAGAATAAGTAGAAAAGGAACTGCATGCCATGTTATTAATCTAACAAGTACATTCTAATATTTTTAGAAAATCCCTTGATATACATTTCTAGTTTCCTTTTCCTTGTGTCTGTTACTAATCCGTGACTTGTAGCTTTTACAGCAAAGGCTCTTCAGAGGAGGCACACATTTCTTTTTCCTTCATTCCTGCCTACTGAACAACAGCCAGAGGCAATACCACCCAGAAACAAAGTTGTTATTTTAGAATCATACCATGTTGCGTCCCTGTTCATACTGGGGAAAGGGACTAATATTTATTGAGAAATTTAACATTGCCATATAATTTCCACAGATGCAGAAAAGATTGTGATCCTTTTTTGCCTACATTAGAAAAATGGTGAAATTACTAATGTAAGCATGGAAAAGAATTCCTCTTGTGTGTGTGTGTGTGTGTGTGTTTGTGGAAATATATGGGTATATAGTATCTACAAGTCAATGGAATAACAGATTTTACACGTAGAAAGTCATACATGGTGTCTCTGGAAAATGCTGGTCTGGAGCTTTTGCGGAGCAGAAAGCCATCACTGATCAAGAGAAAAGAGGGCTAGTTCAGTGGACAAATATACTATCTTCTATAAAGCAGCTTTTTACATTCATGACCTTACATTTTGCAGTCTTTCCTGCAATAATGAAGTTTCAGAGAGAATGCCAACTCATTTATAGCCAAAATGGCACAATCTATAATTCCATGTTCAAAGAAGAGTTAGAAGATTTCACAGAAGGAAAAAAAAAATACAAAAATATTGATGGGGGAAAAAGTCAAAGCTTTCTTCCAACTAAAATGGCAATTTCAATGGAAACTTTGTTTCCAAAGAGTAGCAGCTGGGTGGTGAGGCATTTTCAATTGAGGCATCTGATTTGGGAGGGGGGAGGGGGACTCTTTCCTGTATATAAACTGTGACCTTATCCAAAT